GACTTCTCGTGGTCCATTGCTGACTGGGATGCGCTAGCCGCGAAGGACCTTTTGGGCGATGAAAGAGGCTGGAGAACAAGGTGAGACCAAACTTCTCAAATTTCAGCAGGCAGGAGTTCACAGCGTCTTAAAGATACCTGTGGGGAAATTCTCGGCCGTATCTTATCATTGGTCGTTAGACTTCTCATGCAAGATGAGGTCAGACACCCCACGAGAATGATGATAAGAAGATACTGCCCGTTCAACGTGATAAGGGCCCTCGCAAATGTTGGGCAAGTCCGTCTGAAGGTTTACTCGAGTACAGATAGGAGCGCACTTTTCGCTCGTTCTACTGACCCTGACTGGAACTCCTTGGGTGAGTGAGAGCGCGCCCTTGTAGGCATTTTCCTCTCGACTGTATCAACAGTATCTCAAGCCTTTGGTGGGACTGTCCTCCACCATAAACACTATTCACATTTCACGGATGCTGTCTTGACTGGAAAACTCGAGGTGGTGGGTGTCAATTGGAACGGGTAGAGGAGCTACCCGTTTTCCTTAGCCACTCGGGCCTACTATTGGTGGCGTATTGAGTCCTTCGTCACTCAAACTGAAGATGAGCAAAAAAATCTTCGTTTTTTTGAATCAACAAAGATGGCATTCAAGGGAATTCACAAAGTAAGATCGTCAGAGCTGATACTGCGTACAAGTCTACTACCCACAATTTTGCGCTCAAGATCATCCTCTGCTGAGTCGCAATGTATAGGAGCTGTCGCAAAATTTCCACGGTTAAGAGAACTAAGGATGGCGCTAACAGTAGTATCCTTTCGTTATAACGACCTTTCTAAATAATAATAGCCTAGTTAAATTTACCGTATAGAGGTTATTATTAAAAGTTTTAAATATTAGAATTAAGACTTTAAAACTCTTAATATTCTTAGTAAATATCTTAAATATCTTAAATATTAATACTTTATATAGTAGCGACATTAATATTATATATATAAAGTATATATATATAAAGTATATATATATAAAGTATATATATATAAAGTATATATATATAAAGTATATATATAAAAGTATATATATATAAAGTATATATATATAAAGTATATAGTAGCGATATTACTATATATATACGAGGTATATAATTACGATATTACTATATATATAATAGTAATAATAGTATATATCTTAATATATTATCGAAGTTATTCGTTTACGAGATAATAATAAGTATTAAAAGAATCATAAAGAAGAGAATAAGTAGTCTTATAATCTAGCTAATCGAGTAAATTAATATATATATAATTATATAAAATATTATATATAGATTATAAAGCTATTTAAGAAATTTGCTAAAATATTAGAAATATTAAGAATATTAAGAATTTTAGCGTATATTTAAAACTTTCAATAATAATCTTTATATTATACTCGTTTTTACTCTTATTTATATATTACTCTTATTTATATACTTTTAAATTCGATAAATTTAACGTAATATTAAAACGTTTATCTTTTATTAAATTTATATAATAAATATATATAATAATAATAGTACTTTATTTATATTAAGAGTTTATATTAAAGAATTTAAATTTAATTAATCTATTATTATTCTTATTTATCTCTTCTTTAATTATCTCTTTTATTTCTTTAAACTTATTATAATAAAAGTAATAATAAAATCTAATAAAGCTCGTAATAATAGTTAATAATATTTTCTTTATTTCGCTATTATTATTATAATAATAAAGTAAAATTTAATAATCTTAATATAAGAGATATAATAATATTTTTTAATAAAAACTTAGCTTTTTTTATATTACTTAACTATTATTAAATATAATTAAATTAAAAAGTAATCTTTATTTTAATATATTTAATTATATTAATAACTCTAATTCTAATTCTAATTATAATTCTTTTTTTATTACTTTATCTTTAAAAGAATATTATTATTAACTTAAAGTAATAAATAACTAATATTAAATATATACTTCTTTTTAAAAAATTAATAAAAATTAATTAACTTTTATTTTTAATATATACTTTATAAAATATATTAATATATATAAAAGAATAAGATAAAGTTAAATTATAAAATCTTAAATTTATATATATAGTTAATTATAAATTTACTAAATTTATACTCTTTAATTAAATCGACTAAGTTAACTTACTAGCTCTCTCGCGTCTTCTTATTAAAAATTTATATATAAAAGACTTATATTATTAATTATCTATCTCTTTATAAATATAATTACTTTATAATTTTATAAGTTATAAATCTCGCTTTACGCTTTTTAACGCTATAAAAATTATAAAGTTTAATTTACTATCTATAGAGCGAATTATTATTTAAATATAGTTATATAAAACGCGTTCGAGATCGAATAATTCTTTTATCTATTTATATAAATTATTATTCTTTTACTACTTTATTAATCTACTAATCTATTAATTATAAATATATTTACTCTCTCTATTACTCGCTCTTATATTACTAGATCTATAAGATATATATATTTCTTTTTCTCGCCTTTTAGAGTCTCTATTAACGCTTTTAAATTATTTTTTAACGAATTTATTATTACTAGTAATTAAGATCGTAAGCGAGTTTAATAGTTATCTATTACTACTTATAAATATATTAAAAAACTCTTAAAAAGAGTCTAAACGAAGATATTCTCTTCTATATACTTCTCTTAAGCTAGCGATAATATCTTTTAACTTAGCGATACTTACTAGCCGAAAAGATATGGAATATTTCATGAGATATTTCATATTAAGTGATATCACACCGTACCCGGGTATGGTATAAATAGGGTCGGATACCATATCATTTTTCTGGTATGGGTTCGGGATCTTGGCGGGATATCCCACGGTATGGTATATCTGTGGTATCATATCATGGAATGGTATATGTATGGGATATCCTCACTGAGATTTCAGTATAAGTAGCTATTCTGATCATCATTCTGGCCAACCATGGCTATCACTATCATCTACCATGACTGTCACTATCATGGCTGCCACTATCATGGCTGCCACTACCCTGGCTGCCACTATCATGACTGCCACTACCATGACTGCCTCTATCATGGCCACCCCTACCATGGCTACCCCTACCATGGCCACCCCTATCATGGCTGCCACTGCCATAGCTACCACTACCATAACTACTACTACCATGGCTACCATATAATAGTAGGCTATTTCAATAATAAATAGTGGTAGCCATAATAGTGGTAGCCATGGTAGTGGTAGCTGTTAGAATGTCAGGTATGTGATGTGTAGAACGGACGGATCAATTCTCCAGAACCTCTCCGGGGCCAGGTTCTAAATATAGTACAAAATTAGGTAGCTGGAAAACATGGTGGCTGGGATGCGCGGGGGCCACATTTCGATCGCAGGCATGGTAGTGGCAGGCATGGTAATGGCAGGCATGGTAGTGGCAGGCATGGTAGTGGCAGGCATGGTAGTAACAGTTATGGTAGATGATAGTGGTAGCCATGGTTGGCCAGAATGATGATTAGAATAGCTACTTATACTTCTAAATATAGAAATCTCAGTAGGGATATCCCATACATATACCATTCCATGATATGATACTATAGATATACCATACCGTGGGATATACCGCCAAGATCCCATATCATACCAGGTATGGGATCATATAAATCTCAATAACCCATATTATGTTAGAGTATGGTATGGTAGATTAATATCTCATATCATATTATACCTTTTCGGCCAGTAGCGATACTATCTTCTAAAACGCGTTTTTCTTTCTAATCTATTCTTTATTACTCTATTTTAAAGTCTTTTAATATATATTAAATTCTAAATATTATTAAAAAGAAACTTTTAAATAAGAGAAAGATAATATAAAAAACTCTTTATTATAAGACTTATTAATAGATTTCTATAATAATAACTCTTTTAATAGCTTATATTCTTTTAATTTATCTTTTAACTTTTATATAGATTCTATTTAGTCTTTAATAAGAATCGCTAGCTATATTATATATTACTTATATATTATAAAGCTTATATAATATTATTTAAGTTTTATAAATTAAATTTATAATTATTATAATATTAATATATATAAAAGAATAAGATAGAGTTAAATTAGAAAATCTTAAATTTATATATATAGCTAATTATTAATTCGTTAGATCTACGCTTTTTAATTAAATATCGCGAGTAAATAAATTAACGTTCGTAACTATTAAAAATCTCTTCTTCTACTTTTAACCTTTTAATAACTTTACTATTTTCTATTAAAATTTTAAGATTTTTTTTTAAAATTATAGTCTAAAACTTACGCTTTTTAATAATAAAAAAAATTCGAAATTTAATCTTATTAATTATTAAAGTATAAGAAATTTAAATATCGCTTATTAAAGTTCGCTAAATAGTATCTAATTAAAAAATAGATATATATTATTTAATTTTAAAATAACTTTTTTATTTTCTATTAAAATTTTAAATTTATTTTTTAAATAATAGAAGAAAATATAGGCTTTTAGATAAAAAAAGAATTTCTAAATATAGTTTTATAATTATTAAAGCGTAAGAAACTTAATTTCTTAAATATCGCTTATTAAAGTTCGCTTATTAAAGATCGCTTATTTATTTACTCGATAGCTTTAATTTAAAAATAATTATAAATTTAATTTATAGATCTTTACTTATTCTATTATATAAATTAATAAATTCTTTAAATCTTATAATATAAGCTATTTTAATAGAATAAATTTTATTAGATTATTTAAATAAATAATAATAGTAGTTATAAGAATAATAGCTATAATAATAATAGCTATAATAATAATAGCTATCTATATCGAACTTATCGAATTTAAGAGCGTATAAATAAGGATAATATATAAATGAGAGTGGAAACGAGTAGTGAAAGTAGGGCATGATTAGTCATCAGCGCTAGATCTGCTGCTTCTTCCTCTTCTCCTGGTTTCATCTCCTCTTCATCATCTTTTCTTCTTCTCACCATGGCCGAAGTCACGCATATAACGAAACCTGACGGGGATTTCGACGAATGGGAGATCCCAGCCGATAGATATTACACTCTGACCTCCACGACATTCACCAAGCGACAGCTGCGCCAACAGGAAAGATACACGAACTGCAAGGGCGAGCTCATTACTGTACCTTGGTCGCGCGAACTGCTCGAGAACGAGAGAGATGCCTTGATCTTTATCTTTCAGAATACGACCATCCACGTCCCAAAGTTTCTCCATTTCTCGCTCGAAGGTGGTGTTGCTAGCATCACAATGGAAGCCGTGCACGGGGAGCTCATGGATGATTTGGTTGTGACACTCAATGAAGAAGACCAGGAAAGACTCACTAGTAATGTTTTGCTGTACATCAATGACACGGTTCTCCCTCAGCTCCGTCAATTGAGATCCAGCACACTTGGTTCCGTGCGCGGCAATATCATTCCCCCGTACAGATTACAAACTAGAGCGAGACGGGCTCATTATCCATCGAGAACATCGGCTACCAAAGACTACGTTTATTGCCACAATGATCTTGCACAGCACAACATAGTGGTCAACCCAGAAACCCTGCAAGTCGCTTCAATAATAGACTGGGAGTTTTCTGGATTCTACCCGTCAGACTTCGAATATCCATTCTGGCTTACAACTCGCGCGAAAAGAACGGATTGGGGTAATGAAGACCCGGCCGTCCAGCGTCTCATCAAATTGATCGACGAACCAGGTAAGAGCAAACCTACTACAGCCCTGCAGACAAGTCTCGCATTGACAGGATTTAGATGCAAACGCTTCTCTTGCGCGCCCATGGGCGGCCAGCATGACTCGCCTGCACGCAACATTTTCGCACCTCTTCTCATGGCTTGCGGACAAGGGCTTCACTGCCATTTCGAGTCTATTCTCTCGATTCACAAATCATCGTTCCTAAAAAGAATCCCGGCGAGCGTCCCCTTGATAAATGATGTGCGCTTTCTGTGTGTTCTCACTCTTGCTGCAAGACGCAACCATAGCCATCTTGCCGACGTACGGATAGAGTGTAGGAGGAAGTATGCATGCGTAGGGGCCCCCGAAGGCACGGGTGATCCTGTCCATGAGGGCGATCTGTAGGTAGCATTATAGTATCAAAAGGGCCAGCTGCACCTGCAACACGTACCCAATATTAAACAGACTGAGCCGGATCTGGGTGGGGGGCGCATACGGCTAAGGAAAAAGAGGGTGTACGTCGATCTCTGCCCACTGTTAACAGTAGGTATTTGTCAGCTTCAAGCTCGTGATAGTGTTGGTAACATCTTGTGTGATGGCTCAAGCTCAACACTTCCCTTCACAGAAGCTTTAAAAGATTTTAGATTGACAGATACAGATATCATACACACCTTGGAAACCTTCTTCCTCTCTACAAACACAATTGGCTTTTCTACTTGAAAGATGGCGAGAACGAAGAAGACCCCTACACCTGCGACACATTCTACACGGCGGCGCTCTTCCAGAATACGACTTTTGAACAAGCGGAGAACACTAAATCAGCGCAACAACCAACGCGCAGGTACGCCCGCCGCACCTAAATCGTCGTTCTCAGACCTGCCGGCAGAAATCATCATTCAAGTCTTCAAATCCGTCGATGATTTTTCCACCGCTGCCGCTCTGAGCAACGTTTCACGCAACCTCTTCACCATCTGGAAGCAAGATCTCCCGTCCATCTGCAGAGCAGTACTTCCCCGCACTGTCGACTGTTTCGATGAAGCCCAAGATCTCATGGAAGCTCAGTCTCACTCTGCACAGAATCAGCAGTCGTCTGATGCAATCCAGGCAACCATAGGCCGCGCGGAGCTCTTTTTCTCAAATGCCGCTATCGCGTGGCTTGCTTCCTCTCGCTACGAACGGAGTGTCATTGATCATGCTAAGGGAAAATTTGATGACCGCGGTATGACAACGGCGGAGCGAACATACTTTGTGAAAGCGTGGTACCGGCTTATGACAATAATAACGTTAGTAAAAGACTTTGAGCCTCTCCCATATGGTCGTCTGGTATCCATGGATTTCTTAGGGTTTTCCCAAATGATGGACGTATTGCACTGGCTGGAATATCATAGTCAGAAAAAGAAAGCCACATTGAAGAGCATCACACTTCATAACGACGATCTACGCCCGTATATTGCTCTTGTGGGAAGTCAACGGTGGTGGTCTCTACATTGTTTGAACAAACATCTGACGAAGGAGTCATTCCCCGAGCAAGGCTTTCCGTTTCCCTGGACGTGGACGCCTTTCTACACATATGTGTTTCACGATCACTATCCGGAAGAAACTTATCTAAGAATGGACGTTGGCTTGGCACAGCTGTTTCCTAGTCTTCCCAAGCATATCCTTGAAGGCATTCTTGATGGCACTGTGTATTACTTCCAGTCACAGCAGTGAAGCCGATGGAGGCAGAGGAGGTAGTAATAGTGGCGAAAGCTTCCAATAATGCCCCGAATCACTCAGCCTCAAGACAGACCCTGAATAGTTAAATTGAAATTCATTCACGCAATCCGTAATCCATCTTCCGTCTGACCTAATCCGGGCCAATGGTTCAGCCAATTTGGGGGATTAGCATCAAAATACTACTGCAGTTAGTAAGACCCTGGAAGAAAATTAGCGTTCGTTCAGTTCCATTAATTGGAAAAATCTTCGTTAGTGGCTACGGTTACCGCAGCGTTGAAGTGAAAATATTAAAAGTGAACATGAACAAGCAATATCATCAATGATTTAATGTCACACTTAAATCATATATTACGACCCACAGTCCAGTTCAGATCATTCGCGTGTAGCCTCGGACTCGTGCAGACAACATCCAAGTTAATCGTCTAGAAATCTGGGGCGCACTATTCGGAGCCTTGAAACGGCGGCGGGGACAATGTAACCGGAGATTTGCTCGGACATGGACACTACAAACCCAACAACAAACTTTTCTGGATTAGCAGATGACCCGCATTAACGCGACAGCCGAAGTCCTTTTCAGCGCTGCACGAGAGGTGCTTAAGCTAGTTGTCTATAGGTGCGATACGATCTAGAACTCTTTTATATGTGGACCCGGCGCCACCGCGCGCGGCTATGAATCTCACTTTGAGGTCATGGCACATCTCTCCCAACGCGCGCGACGTCTGAAACTACTTAAGATGTAGCGCAGATCGCCAATCGCGAAACATGATTGAATTTGCAGAGCACGTTTGTCGAAAACAAAAGAACAGGAGGGAAAAAACGTTCGAAAGCCCGAGCGTAGGCCCCAAGAGCAGCTTTGACAATTTTCTAGCGAGCATTTAAAGAACGACGATGGAAGTGATTCTTCTAGCAGATTCCTCCATTCTCACCATTTCCCGTCACAATGTCCCACCAGCGCACCATCCAACGTCTCGCTCTCTCGCTCCTAACAATCTTTTCCACCTTTACTCCAGCCACATCAGCGGCTACACCACCGACCCTCGCCAGCATCTCGCACCCGGTCCTCCCGAACCTCCCGAACCCAAACAGCACCATCAGTTTCGATCCACCCCGAATCGTGATCAAAATCGACGCCACGCACGACATCCACTTCACCCAATACCGGCACTTGTTCCCCGAACGCAACTATTTCGCCGCCATCATCTCCCTCCAAACGTCCCTGATTGCGCAGTACTTCGAGCGGCAAGGGGAGGATTTGGACACGGGGGCGTTGAGCCTGGATGCATATGGGGCAGAAATCTACCTCGACAATCTGACGGGGCGGTTGACGTATGCGATGGCGCATAGGATGTTGGGGGAGTTGGGGGAATTCTTGATGGGGGGGTATCGGTGTGTGGCGCGGTTTGAACTTTGGGAGACACAGGGAGCGCAGGCGGAGCAGCTTAGTGTGGGATGGCTTGAGCCGGAGGATACGAACAAGAATGCTGTATGATTGATGGGACTGGCCAGTTTGGGGGTTACGACGCCAAAGAAGTTGGAGAGGTGAGCTGAAGCATCAGAGGTCTTGTGGAGGAAGTACCGAAAGTAGTAAATACGGAAGAGGCTGCGAAAATGAAGTGTGGCTCGCCTGCACGCAACATCCATCTCAAACGCTTCCTGTTATCATTCCATGATCTATCAGCACTTGAGTACTGTCGGTAAAATTGTCCAGCTCCTTATCGAGTCTCGACTCTAGTATCCCGGCCCCCCTTCAGCATCTACATTAGCATACTGGTTGGCTTCGGGTATTTAAAATACGAGCTGGCCGTTTTCCCCCTCGCAACAATCTAACGCAAACCACTATTCATAGCGCTGGCTAAAAATAGGCCTGCTCAAGCACACTGATCCATCGGGTTGCGGCGAATCCTTTGCATATAAGAGTATTAATGAATGTCTATTACGAAGCGGGAGATACTGTCTGAGCTGGAGAAGGCGGTGATCATGTGTCTCCTGACATCGGTTCTGGAGCCGCAGAGAGGTCCGATGATAAGAGACCTTCCATCTATTCTAATATTTATTCCGGCAGCTTTAGCGCTTTCATCTTGGTAAGCAGCTCCGATACTCGGAAAGGCTTCGGCATAACATCGTCCTGTCCTCGGGTCAGATTTGCCAAATTAATGCGCAATGGTCTTGCATCGCTGAAGACCCAACTGGCAACTTACCATTCCCGCACCCAGTGAAGTCTCGATCTGCTCCTTACGTGCATTGGCCGTCACAGCAATGAGCGGGACGTGTCTGATCAAGGTACCCTTGCCCTGCAACTCCCTGATTCGTCGGGCGCACGTGAGTCCGTCCATTATTGGCATCTCAAGATCCATAAGGACAACATCAACAGCTTTGCCACCAGGGTTATTTGTCCACAGATTGGAACTTTGCATGAAGTCCAGTGCTTCTTGTCCATGGTTCGCGACGTGCACGGTACATCCCGCTTTCTGTAGCTGTTTACAAAGAACTTTCTCTAATCCAAGGTCAGTGCCAATGGCTTGAAAGGTTTGAAGACACCCACGGTTGACCAGATTATCCTCGACAAGCAAGACTTGAAAACTCTCCGAGTCTCCCTTGTTCTGGCTACTATATGTTACAGACTGACTTGCTACCTTAGTTGGCACGTCTGTCTGCGATCTTTGAGGTTTGATCGGCGAAGCTGTCCGACATTCTGCAGACTGGGTCTCAAGCTGCTGCATCGCTTTCTCGGCTGGTGGTGACGCTCTTCTTCCTTTAACGTAGAATGCAAAGGTGCCTGGGTTATGTTCAGCCCAGAAACTCAGTCTCATTGAAAGTGCAAGTCACTTACTACCCTTTCCGGCCTCAGAGTAAAGACCAATTTCGCCACCATGCAGTTCGGTAAGCTCGCGCGAAATAAAAAGACCGAGTCCCGAACCTCCATACTTCACGTGAGTGCGTGGGTTCGCTTGCTATATCACCGTTAGCTCGGGGCTCGTTCGATCTTACAAGAGTAGAAATACCGCGAAACGATGGAACAGGCGGGTTTTCTCCTCGCTGCTCAAGCCTTGACCAGTGTCTTCTACAGCGAAGTAGACAAAGAGGGGCTCATACTCCCCCCATTCACGATCGAGTGTCAAGTCTTTCTTCGAGTCAATACCTCTGGATGGAAACCACTCGAGATTGACTCGTTCGGTGCCAGGAGGCTTGTTGACTGACCCTCCGATTGACACCTTTATCTCGCGCTTCTCTCGGGATTTCGTAAATTTGATGGCGTTAGTCATGAGGTTGACGAGGATTTGCGTTACCCTAGACGGATCGATCATCACCCAGTCAATCCCGAAGCGCTTGTACGATTCCTCAAAAGAAAATGCAAGCTCGATGCCATGGGACACAAGCTCCCCTTCAAACATCTTCAACGCTCCTTTGACAACGACTGGAGGCTGGGTCAGGGTTGGTGATACTAGCAACATTGCCGAGTCGAGTTTCGAAAGCGTCAAAACGTCATTGATGATCCGTCCTTGGTGTTGTGCGCAGAGCTGTTGGTCATGTAAGTCAGCTAGAGGTCTCCAACAGTGCAAGTGGTGATGACAAACGCTTATGATTTGGATGGCCTCGAGGTTGCTTTCTACAAGCTCATCCGAGAAAATTGGCGTCTTCGATGAGGCTCGGAACTCCAGAAGTGAAGCGGCGATGCCATCCGCGCTCTGCAGAATAGCGCTCAGGGGATTACGCATCTCATGGCTTGTAATGTCCATGAATTTTTCCATGCTCTTTCTCGCCTCTTCTGCCTCTATCCTGCTGCGTACTTGTATTTCGTTCGCATCTTTTTGCGACTGAGCGAGCTTTTCGGAAAGCGCCGCGCGCTCTAAAGCGTCTTCTTGGGCTTGTTTCAGAAGACTGATGTCAGTAACACTTCCCATCACGCTTTTGAGAGATCCATCTTCGTTCTCGTCGTGGCCGCAGGAAGCCAGAATCCATTTGTTCTTCCAGGTGCCGCTTTCCTTGTGGTGCCACTTGTGTGTGAGTCGTACCTCAAAGGTGCGTTTCAGTTTTAGCTCGCTCATGTTGTACCATTCTTGTTCCACGTATGGACGGTCTTCTTCCATGATGATACCCATGAACGCCCTACGCCATTAACGACTATCGTCAGCAGAGTAATCCTATGTTGATAGAGACGATACAAAGCTGGTCAACCTCAGAAGTTGGATCAAGAGCATGGAGCACGACCTACATCTCTGAGTGCTCATCTCTGGAGAGCCCTGTCATGCTGTACTGTAGGCAGTTCAGCATTACTCAAAGATGTGGTTCCCTTGTCTTTCAACAGAAGTCTTACCCCTGCATCAAGTCAGACATAATCTACGGAAAGCAGAGCGTGACGTACATGTATCATTTGCGTACAGAACTTCCCCACGAGGGCTAATGTAGAATAGGCTAGACGGCTGTCAGTCTATCTAACCATGACGACGATTGGTGGGAGACAACCCCCCAGCATTGAGCTCAGTCAAAGTTTTGAACCGGGATTCCCCCTCGGCCAAGTCTTTGGACAGCTCAGCCTGCTTGCGTCTAGCCTGCTCCATCAGCGCGGCCGATGTCAGAGACGTTGACAATTGCCGATTTAGTAGCTGTATGAATCCGGCATAATCATCATCGTACGCTCTTCGTGGGTTCAGCCCCATCAGCAGAAACCCTAAGGTTTCTTCTCCAGCAGTAAGAGGTAGGACAGCTAGAGTGTTCGACGGTTCGCCAAAGCCTCGCCACTCGATTCCGTGGAGCAATGATTCGGGCAGACTCCCATTATCTCGCTGGAAGACCTTTGGACAGTTGGCCGAGATGGTCTTCCTCAAAAGTGGTAGAATCGTCTCGCTACCTTGGGTCAGGTCCGCGCGCTTCAGTGCCAGGGGGTGGCCTTCCACTACACCTAGAGCTGCTTGCAGGTGGATGATCGAAGTTGGAGCCTCGTCATGCATATCACTGTCAAGAGAATAGATCACTGCCAATGGTATATCGCGCTCGTTCGATTCGAATCCCTTCAATACTTCGCGCCAGTATGAAGCCATATCAGGGGCACTAACGATGGAGAGGAGGCTATTGATGATTAACGGTAGTGCCCAAGAGACCATGGGTCGTCCTGATCTCACGTAGATGTCCTGCGCTCCCATATATTCTGCCTTGTCGTCTCAAAAGCGGCATTATAGAACCCTTCGGTCTTTCCATTTTCGGCTCGAACAGGTATCAAATTGTATGAAAAAAAGGTCTCCTCAAGGTAGCCATGTCTTTGGAGGTAGAAAGGGGTGTCCTCCATAGACGTTGCGCGTCCCAGTCGCTCGGCGGTGAGGAAGACCGGTTCGAGATCCTTGGCGACTTCGGCCCAAGCTCTTTCCAAGGTTGCGCCCATTAACCCCGGATGCTTCCTACTCGCCACAGCTATGTATGCCTCATTGTACAACACTGCCCGCTGTGGGCCCCTGGCAAATTGTTCATCAGCGTTCATGCGGTCATTGGATGAAGGGCTTGTACCAGAATATGCAGGCACCGCGAGAATCGGACATCAGGAGGCGCGTCATCTGTCTAAGACAGCCAGACCAAGTGTCCAGAGGCCCAAGTGCCGTAGACGACCAATCCGTGCTTTTGAAAAACTGAACGTGTTCGCTTATTGGCAGGTCGTCGACCCATGTAGGATGCATGCCTGCCTGAAGCTTCCCATTCTCTTTTCTTGCCGGAAGACCCCTTGACCCGGTGTTCATGCCGTGAGCTTTCCTCTGCGACCCAGCAGGAGGACTTGGGAACGAGCCTGCGGAAGTGTCCTTGAAACCAATTGCGGAACTGCTAATTATGCGCCATCTCTTCTTCAGTGTTGAGCCGGTCCACAACAGACTCTGATACTCGAATGGAGGTGGAAGGTCGTCCGTTGTGTGGACATATGTAGGGAGGCTAGTTGCCCAATCCTTGAACTGCGAGTATGTCCCTAGCTCATCATCGTCCGCCGGAACGTCTTTGCTCACTTGCACCGGATTTAATATACGGGGAAGGCGCTGAAGGGATGCATTGGAGAAGACCGTGTGTAGACACTCATTAGAGGGATCCTGAGTGCGCTCGAGGTCAAGGATGAATGTCGGCCTTGGATCGCATTCGAGCAGCTCGATCATGCCAATATCAGCCAGTGCTGGAGGGACCATTGGCGTATTCATCGCCCTGACCTGGGCTTCTACCGTGATATTCGCCCAGACTCTTTCTTCTCCTTGTGTAGCCCATGGGTAATCATTGCAACTGGTTCATCCCACGGAGGTAGCGGGCGCCCCAGCAGCGGGGGGTGTGCTTGTATCGGAGAGGTGTGAGATTAGGAGGTGGGGGGATTTTCTATCGAACTGGTGATGCTGATGATAGTGCCATCTAAATCAAGGCCGCTACAAGTGTTCGAGACGGGAAATACAGACTTGTGTACTCTCAGACAACACTGGAGAATGACGAACGCCTCGGCTAAAGTTCGGCAAATTCGACGCGCGCGCCTCTCATCCGACACGGTATGCACAACATACAGCATACTTTATGAGTGTCCAATATTCAGCACTGGAACCCTTGCAACACTCTGAACTTCATATCATTCCACGCTTTGTTTTAAAATATTTTAAAATTTTCCCCCAGCTGTCTAGAGCACATGAGTGATGCCGCTGGGAATGTGTGGCGGGCTAATTACTAATTCATACCCCAAAACTAGGAATCCTTACCGAATCATACCCCTAATTACTGAGGGTATGATTCAGTAATTTGCCGTTCATGATAAAGATTTGCAAAGAAGAGGAGAGGATTCGCGACCTAGGCCATCCGACTATAGAACTAAGGGGATTTCTCCGACCGCATTGAATGGGTACATCACACGAAAGCCGAGTAGGCTAGTTTGGTCCCCCAGCCTATCTACACCCAGCCTATCTACACTTAGCCTATGGCTCTCACTCACACTCCTAACTCCATTCTCAATAGCTAACACAGGTATAGACACCTAGATTACACTCTTAATGGGCAGTATTGGCACAGGCGCTTAGCTGCATCTACAAGTAGGCCATTCAAGTACCTTACCTTAGGCCGCTATGGCAAGTTTGGTAAATTACCGAATCATACCCCAAATTTTGGTGTAGAGGTATGATTCAGTAATTAGGGGTATGATTCGGTAAGGATTCATAGTTTTGGGGTATGATTCGGTAATTAGCCCAATGTGTGGCTCACCCTTATCCGCTTTGACCATCTGCTCACAGGTCTTACAATATTCTGGGGAGCATTAATCTGCAGTAGGGAAGTGATGGATCTGTCTCTACTGGGTGCAAGTCATCTGGAAATGTGCTCGTTGAAGGCACCCGATTGACGAATACTGCTGCTGTCCACGAGCTGGCTGCCAGTTCCTTCTTGTACCCAACTGCAAAAGCCCCACAAAGTCCTCTCGACGCCCTCATTTCACCTAGCTTGCTCCGCACGCCACGCCAGTTCTACGTAGCTGTTGGCCTTGTTGGGCCCGAACTGCGTACTAGCGACGCAGGCCTCATACACAAAACAAGTCCCAAAGGCTTCTAGGACTCAGACAAGCACGATGTTCTCCCACCATCAAAGTATTCTGTAAATACTGGTACCATGTGTTCTACTCGCTGGCAACGATTGCGAAATGAAATTGAAGGACAAGCTACGTTCACCAAAGATTCTGCATGACTCTCCACCACCGTCGCAACCAAGCTTTCACCATTCTTCTGCCGCGTTCCACGACCAGCACCTCCACCGCTACCGTTCACCAGTCCAGCCATCTACGGCTCACAAATGAAGCGTTGCATTCTTTCAATATATCTTGGCAGCGTTAGGGCGACCGCAGAAGAGGAAACCCTTCTTCCCACCACTCGTCCCTTTGAAACCGAGACTGATTCGAAGTTGGTCTCTCCATAGGTAAAACCATCCCTACCACGGAAATTACACGCTCTATCGGTATATATCTTGCGTGCCGATAGGATCCGTCGTCAAAGAGCCTAGCGCATCTGCCTCGCTGCGCTTGGGACCCAATTCTCTGGGTGTCAACCTCACATCGAGCGTCAAGTTCGAAGCCTGGAATCCACCCGTCGTTGCATTGCAAGTCAGATTCAGTGACGGAGCCTGAAGAGAACCCAATTTCAAACCGAGCGCCTCGTACACAATTCCCGAAGGCGAGTTGCAGCAAGATTTCGAGACATATGTACAATTACAAGGGCAAGCTGGATCCGTCGAACCCTCTCCTGTGAGGGTGGCGTTGATGATGTAAAACGACTGAGTGGCGTTGGTCGAGTCGACCTCAAGAGTTCCCCGCCTTATCCCAAAGCTGGGGCGTGGCTGTTTGCACGAGCTGGAGAAAAACTCTCCATGCCACTTGTCTGCGACGCATATACAGCTGACATCACCCCCGCAGTGGCTCGCCTTTGAGCAGAAATGAGATCTTCCGCAGATGGGTCCGGGCTTTGGAATATTTGGCGGATTATGTGCCGAGATTCCCTCCAAGTTGGGCGGAATCCCTTTCGCTACGCTTTCTGCAAACGTAGTAGCGAACGCGGACGTATTCGAGTAAATGACAGCGAGGAGCCGGCCTTTGTCGCCTAGAGAAATGGAGATAGGAGTCAGCTTGTTGCATCTTCAACGCACAACCGTGATAATCTTACCGATCCAGCCCTGACCACCTTCCATGCTAGGAGCCTGATGCTCGTCGGGCGTGGGGACATGTGAGCAATAATTCTGGAGATGGGTTGCTTGTTGTGCGAGACTAGGATACGTCCCTGTATCATACAAGAAATTCCCATTGGCGTCATATCCGGGCGCCAGGTAGATGCTGCAGCCATCTAAATTAAACCGTGGTCAGTTCAGTGCGCTCGCAAAGTATCTCCGCCTCCGACTCGCCTCTTTCATAAACCGTGGCGGCCGTGTGTATTCTGTTGAACCACTCCGTTAAGGTGACGTCTGACGGTCGTCGGTCAAGGTCCCCGGTATAAAATAGATGACGCTCTCGATCCGTGCTTAACAAGCCTTGGAAAGTTTTATTAGCATGGCCTTCAATGAGGATTTGTGAGCAGTTGTAAGGGTTTGGGTTGCCGTAGAGGGAGGCGTCGCAAACGATGGCTGCGGAAGAGCGCGGGAGGAACAAGGCAAAGAGTAGAGCGGGTGCGAGAATGAATGTCCGCGACCTTTCGCACATATCGTCTCGTGGTATGCCGTCCACAGATAGTGCTTGGTAGGAACGACAGCCTGACAGCGAACCGAGGTGACAATTGATGACATTAGGTACTCTAAGATTCAGGAGATTCAGCGCGGCGTGATTGAACTCCCACAGCTTGTATTAGCATAGACGCGATCGAGTGTATCTTCGAGTACGTTCTATGCGAGTATCCCCGAATATCCGAGCTGCGCGAGGCTATCACCTTCATCTGCGGTTCATATGCGATCGAATCTTAGCGCACAACAAACTTCCAAAGCTTGCACCTGCAAAGCTTTTCAATGCCGTACTGAAGAATGCATCCTCTCATTGCCAAGGAACTATTGCACACTCTCACACGTGCAACCAACATGCTCTCAAGGCCATGTGTTTCGCGCCTGACATGATTATCCCACGACCGCTTGTACGATTAGTTTTTTGGAAAAGCCGCCTGGCGAGACATGCGCTACGGAACGTGAAACGAGCATAAGTAGAAATTCATGTGGTGAAACGAAAAGAACCGGGGTGATTGCAGTGCGCTGTTTAGATGATCATTTTGCTCTTCTCTCGTTTGAGGGCGAATTACTGGAAATCTGACGAATAATAGTTATCGGATTGTAAGTCTCAAGCGCTGCACAGAAGTTTAAAACTCTGGCTATGGTTTCCGGGGGTTTTCGCCGTTTTCACGAACCCAAGAGCACGTTCTTGGCCTTGTTCACCGTTCGCAAAACCCTTCGCCCTTAGCTACGGCAACAATTTCTTCGTCTATCGATCGTCCATTATCTGAGCCCCAGTGTGACGAGATGCTAGCTGGGGATAGTTATCAATCCGTCTGTCGAGCCACAGCAATCAACCGATAGAAATGAGACGTTGCAAGGACATTGGTAAGGCACGCCCGGCTCATCCATGTATCGCGAATCACCCCGCCTTCCGAGCCATCCACTGGATGTAGAGCTCCTAATAGCCTGAAGCACCAAACAAACAGCAACCGGCGCAACGACATCCAGGCCCAGCGACCTCGCATCCTGAGCCGAAGGTATGCCGCAGAAGCAATCATTGTCGGAATACCAGGAGCTACAATCTTGCGGCCCATTACAGTACTTGCCGCACGCCGTGAGATTACTAGACCTTGGGGGACTCCTGACAATCTGTGTCGCGTCTGGAGGCGCCCTTGGGATGGGTCCGAGAACGTCCATCGGCCAAGGCATCTGAACAGAACTTCCGGCTGTCTGCCCCGCACGTGCCTGCAGGCGCTTGGTGGTGCAGTACACTGAGCCGGTTCTGTGGCGGGAGTACTTGTCTTTCGCTGGTCTGAGATCCCGAGGCTTCCAGATTTACGAATCCGTCTGCTGAGGTAGTCAGGTCATGGGTCGCAACAAAATGCCAAACGCTGGCTGTCGGCGACATCCACGTTTCGATGGTATAGTTATCTCTCGTTGGCATGAAATTGCAAGCACATCGCTGCCAGCAGTAAACTCGTATCGACGCCGAAGCAAGGAAGTTCGCCGTCCAAGTCCTGTCTATTCTTGGGGAGAATTCGTCCGAGAAGCAGACGGTTCTATCCATGGAGCCGGAGTCTGTATCGGTCCAATGACAGTACCAGTACCCGCCCGTGTTTGCGTTCCTGCCAGGTCATGTCATGTCAGAATCCCTCGAGCGTAACGAAGGCTATTGGCTGCAAGCCATACAATTTGCTTCACTTACGGATTGCCTCCGGAGAATTGTAATGCGCATGTTTCTTGCAGGCTCCGGATATCTGAACTAGCAAATGGCGGCGGAAGCGGGAAAGCGGGTAACGTGCCTGTTCATTCGATGGTTTCCCACGGATTCAAGCTCACAAAGGCTGAATTAGTGACGTAATTTTTGCCCCAAACGATCCACGCGGCAGACATATTGGTGGGGCTCAGTGTCCCTTGATGCTGCATCGGTGGCCCGAAAACAGGTGCGATCAAAGCGGCCTGTGACATAGAAGTGGAGGCGATGCAGAAACAGGCCCCGAGAAGGTACTGAACAACTAATGATAAAACAATGATTACGGATCAGAAGGAACAGAAGGGATTACTATACCTCACATACTGGTCTATCGCTTGAACCTCAGCTCCCGTGTCGGTCCCATCCGCTATCCACGTTGGACCGAAATCGTCAACCACTTCAACTCCGAGCTCGTATGTCTGATCAGACCGCCATTCTCGCGGAGCAGGCGTATAGAGAATTGGCTGGATGCTGATTTCTGCGAGGCCATAGTTGCAGAAGTAGCGGTAACGGCAACCAAGCATGATCCGAGGGCTGGTAAGCATGCTGTTTACACTGTTGGCGTACGTGATTTGCTCTACCGTGACGCCCACTTGTCCCTCACCATCGCTGCGACCATATTGACAGGATCCGCCTATGTTATGGGTTGGGTGGGCCACCGCCAACGTCTGGCGCAGCGCAAAGTTGCTCATCGTCACGTGATTCGGATTGAATCCCACATCGGGACCGGCTGGTAGAGCCAAGTCATAGCTGTCTCCGACGCAGGTCATTGCAAAGACGTTTTTTTAGATGGCTACGGCTGAGACTTGAGGTACACAAAGAGCTGTAAGCCGCAATGCTATGGAGAGCGAGTTGCAGATTCTATCCACTTGCATGGGGCGGAACGGAGATCGAATCATCTTCAACACTTCTTGAAATGGGTAAATTTTTCCGCAGCGATCGTTGTGGGAAGATTGGAAACAAGAATGAGAAATGACTTGAGAATCATATGGGGTGTCTCGTTGTTGTCGCTAACATCGGAAATTTGAAGACTTGGCAATGAGCACATATCTATTATTAGCGTGGGAACACTACATTGAAAAGGAATTGTTGCCATAGGTGCATGCGATCGGCTACTTCGCAACCTAGGAGTAAGCCGTGGACCTTTATTAGTACTCATGGCACGTCCCAAGCTTCACCAAATATAGAGACAGAAATTGTGGTTTCGATGAATGAGTGACCTTGACCTGCTTGGCTGCTGCTTGGCTGGTTTACCCTCTTAGACAGAAGAATTCCATGCTTGTTTGCATCTCCGTCTGCACCATCTTGTAGGAAAAACCTTGCTAAGCCATGATTGTGCAAATGCTGCCATACTTTTTTGTTCCATTGGAAGACCCCCGTTACGGTTTGCCCAAATGACACCGCCAGCTTTTGGACTTCAACCGTCCCCAATCTTCGGCAGTGTCAACTCTACTTGGACTAGCATCACAAGCTGATGAGAACTAAGACCGTCGCTTCAGAAAGACTCATTTCGAGCACCTTGTCAGCCCGTTTCTGACCTTGCTAGTCTTCTTGATCATGCCATGCAGTGTTGCCCTGGACGAGTCCAACTGTGCATCTAGATCTATGCGCTCTTGCTTAGCAGCTGAAAGATGAAGCGAACCTACTCTAGGGTTCAGTCAAAGCCCGGCACACTTTGTCGATGGTGCTGCCCGCTTTATGCTTCCGCGAGAGTGTCTCGATTTGTCGTCCACCTGATTTGCCAACGATCGACGTATTCTGGTGATTCCGGAGTTGGTGAACGAGGAGTACCGCCTTCTAGGTGATGGTGAACACGGAAATCTATAGCCAAAGGAAGTGAAACCCCAGGCCAGTTCCTGCAACGTCTCTTATCCCAAAACTTATCAGGTGCAATTGCCAAACAGAACTCTTCTAGCACATTGGAAGAGTGGGGCCATGAGGAACTATAGCCGACGACAGTGAGGCTTTGGAGATGGGGTCGCAGTTTTTGGATTGCCAACGTGGTAATACCTTCGCCCAGCAGGGGAACAGACCTCGAATGATCGCTAGCCAGCGAGACAAGCTGGATCTCGAGGCTGCGGATAGATTCTCCGCACTGCCCTCTAACCCCGTCGAGGAATTTTGATAAGAGCCTGTTGGCGGCAGGATTGAAGTCTTCATTCCAACATCCTGCCCATACGTCCAGGCTTACGTGCCTCAGGTGTTGAAGATTTCGCATAAACAGTGTGTCGCTAGAGATCGGTGAAAGGCCAATGGTCTTGCAACGGAGGGAATGGTGGAAAGTGTTACTGGCAAAGAAGACTGGAATCGCTTCTTCATAGATCATACGACAGACTCGAAGGATGGCATTGTCACAGAGCTGGATGTGGCAAGGATGTCTTGTCGGAACCAACTCGGGGTTTCGCAAAGTTGGCTTGCCCTTAGGCACAAGACAATACTGGTAAATGACTAGTCTGACTTCTGGTGGGAGCCCAAAAAAGCCGAGCAGCTGCAGCTCCTTCTTGTAGGCTCGGTCGGCGCTTGAGATCCTGGCAGCTTTGCCTGGTGGAGGTAGTGAGATTGGTCGCATGGTCACCTAAGGCTTTGTGACAACGGACAAGGACATGGGCATGGTCGAGACGTGTGACCGATAGTTCGAGGATCACAGAAACAAGAAAGAAGAGCTGAGTCGTGATGAAGGTATTCCTTCAGCGAAAAGGGTTAAGGTATTTTACTTATCTAGCGCTCGACGTTTTAAACCCGCTCTTGGCGGACTTGGCAAGCTAAGCTCGGGGTGGATAGCGGCCGTCATAAGCGTCTTGGCTGTTTTCTGATGAGGCAGCGCTCACCGTCCATCAAGCATCTTCCCGGTACAACCTTGAAGTGCAGTCGAAGCAGTCCGTAAAGCCCAATTGACTGATTTGAATAGGTTTACATATCAACGAAAAGCAAATCTACAACATACGACGGGAGAAGCACATCAAAGATTCAGGCAAGCCATCTCGACTCTTTTAGTCACACAAGACGACATGGCTCTGTTAGCCATGCGCGATGAGATCCTCGTACTGATCCTCTCACGCCACTCTAAAGTTAGAGGACACCTTTACCGCACAGCGCTGGTAGATCGTCGACTTGCAATTCTAAACTGTCCCATATTGCCGCGCTCCATCTGTTTTCTTTTTGATGACATTGGAACGCTGCCAACAGTACCTTAGAGGCTGTTTCGAGCGCCCGGAGCTTGGACAAAAGACCAGCAATGCCCATGTCGTGGAGCACAAGTCTTCCCAGCGCATGCTCCGCCCCAGCCAGTATCTTAACATTCCCACTTTTCTAGATAGCCTGGTCATGAGATGAGCAATATGCAATGGTCGCGCATCTACTCCGTGCATTGGAGAACACCACAATCCATATCCCGGAGCTACGCCACCTCGACCTTTCACTACCTGCTCTTTACATGACCCAGGTCCTTTACTTCCTGACACTACCAACTCTTGGGGACCTTATCGTTGACCACTCATCAGATAGTTATCACGCCACAGGCCTTAGGACTGAGCACCAGATTAAAACCTGCTTGGAGAAGTTCCAGACCACGAAACCGTTACCGCGTCCTCTCGGTCAACTCTCACTTTTTTACACTGCATAATACTGCTAGGACAGCACATTTTTAAGTCACATGCGACGCGAATGAAATCACACACTCATGAAGTGTACACATACGTTCTTCCTACCCAGCTTGCACAGCCGCCGCAAGCTGCGTCAGAAAAGCCGCAGGGAAAGTATCATAACAGCAATCCGCGCCAAAGTACACCGCCTCGATCCCATCCAGCGCCATCGTATGCACCAGACTCTTCACGTTCGCGGTCGCCGGCGTACTATACACCAAGATGGCGCTCTGGTCCCGATACGCGCTCGGAATCGTCGCGATCGTCGTGTCGTTCTTGTAGCTGGAGAACGGATTCTCAAACTCGACCATCGTGTCGCAGTAGCTGAAGAGCTGAGTCGGCGCGAGGGCGCCCGGGTTGAAGACGACGGGGGTCACGTCCGAGGGCACGGTGGCGTAGGCGTACGCGGATGCGTTGTGCATGTACGTGTTGACGGCGCTCGAGGCGGTGTTGTTGACGTCGTCGAAGAAGATGCCTGCGATGGAGATGTTGGCTTTGGTGTAGCTCGTCCATTTGGCGTAGACGCTGATGTCAGACGTCACGGCGGAGTAGGCGCGATTCGTGTTAGCTGTGTCGACGTAGCCGAGGGTCTGCACGTTGGGATAGCTGTTGAGTTTTGCGATGCCGGTGATGAAGTTTTGGTCCGTCGGGTAGCCGGTTGTGCCGGGGCCGCTATTGGGGTTGACGATCACTTGCCACTGCACTTTGGGGTAGGCGGCGATGGCAGCTGTGGCGTTGTTCCAGGCTGAGGCGGAGGTGCCGGGGTAGACGTAAAGAGGGAGGAGGATGAAGAGTGAAGTTGTGGGGAGAGCGAGGAGGAGAGGAGTAAGGAGTAAAAGGGATTTCATGTTTGCGAGTTTTGGGGGTAGGATGTGTGAGATGGGAAATATATGAAGGATTATAGGGTTATAGGAGAAACTGAAGCAATCTTTATACCTTTGGGAGTCATGGTATATCCCATAGGTACTTTGGTACGAAGTACTTCTGTGACAATTAGCCAAGCTGGGCTAAAAGTTTCAAAAAGCCTTGAGGGCGGTTGGGATGGACCCCTAGATGAAAGCTGGAAGGATCTTGGATGGACCCTGCGTGGTCCCTGCGCCAATATCGGGTGCGCCCGACGATGACCGACTGTAGAAGAAGCGAGAGGAAGAGGGAACCACCAGCCACCAGCCACACTGGGAACTTTCAGACCCTTTATGAGGCAACCTACAACGGTCTTACTCGGTGTTGACTCACAGATGTGGAAGTCTTAGCCGTTTCTCACATAAGACGGAGATGTGGCTTGGAGGGCGTAACGTCAACGTGATCGAGCAAACACAAAGGAAAGTCTCCATCAATGTCCCATCAACGCCACTGAAGAAGGTATTGAGAAAAAAATACCCCAGATTTATGCTGACTTCCATTGTTGCTCAACGAGTGACAAAGGCCCACCGCTGTGCTTCGCACTTGATTTTGTACAGAATCAAGAGACTCGACACTCCAGCATGCGAATGCACCAAGAAGGATGCAAACTTGATAGATGATTAATCACCCCACATGCCGGACATAGGATCCATATGTCAGCGTGACTGCATGAGCCGAAATCCTCGAGGTCGACTTGGCGAACAGGAGCCAATGGCAGTGCAATGCTTGGCCACCAATTATGTTTATGGGGTTATATGCAATGCACTCAGCCCAAAGGCTTCTGACAATTGATCAGAGCGGTTGCCGGGATATTTCGGTTGAGCATTCAAGAAATTGACTGGCGGCTGAAAGTGAGCTATAATCTTGGATCAAGTCTCGAACGTCCTTGTGACCTATATGTGTATCACACCGTGAAATGATGGAGAAGAAGGATGCTTCATTAGTGCATTGTGTTTCTTCATCTGCCATGTTCAAGCGGGCTCAGTGGCTTACAGGACGTGGAGCAGGTCGGCGCTGACACCGTCAACGAATGAGACTGCTGTCATTTTTGGTATCCGCAAAGGCTCTGTGGGCTGCAGGAAGGGTGCAGCAAAGACTATGTACCCAACAGTTGTGCAGCGATGCGAGCAAATCGTCTGAAAGAAAATCGTTTTCAAGACGGGTGTCATCGGCATCAGGCTTAGTCTGAGGGGTCAAGAATGGAGGCAACGAGGTCGGATCTTCTGTCGACAGCTTGTACCCAGATTACACCCGGATCTTGACCGCTAGCAGGTGATCTCTGAGCTAATCTGCCCAATGTGGGGGTGGTTCATTGGAAAAGCATACGATCTGACTCCCCCTAATACGCTCCCTTCGACCTGGGCCCTCGGGCTCTTCATCGAGTTTCTAAGCTTATTACCGAGGTACGATACAGGTGTGTGGCACGATTAAGCCCTGGTTGATTTGGAAATGGCCAGACTTTGCCGTTCCACCATAGTAGCTGCATGTGCTGCCAAGAGAATAGAAGCCTGAGACTCTGCAGAATAGAGACGACGACAAATCAGCCAGGCCAGGTCATTTGTGATCATCACTCCGTACGGATGCTGGGCATTTGAGCAAAGAGAGCACGGAAAGCTTGTGCACATAGGTTACACTGGCCAGCCAAAGAACCTTCATGTCAGTATGATTGGATATCATCTAAGTCACCAAGATCGACCTAGCGAACAGGTGCCAATGGCAATGCAATGCTTGATCACGCGTGCATGATTTCGCGCCCAATTAGATCTCCCCGCCTTCCAGAGGCTTGAGCTGAAGCATGTTGCGAGAGCGCGGACAGTGCTGGGACGCAACAATGAAGGCATAAGGAAGAAAGCAAAAGCGGGCCGCAGTATAAATTTGCATAGGGCTTTCGATCGACCTACTGCAATCTTGCACATCCATCTGGATATCTTCCAGGACTTGACTGGGAAGGTGGTCGTAGGGGTAGTTGGTGCCGAAGGCCTGCTTAGCGCGAGTCCGCGATGCCTTCATTGTCAGTCCCAGTTTCTTTGCCTTGCATAGTCTGTCCCTCTGTCCCTTCTTTCCTAGCTAGGGTGACTGGAGTTCATGAGAAAGGTGTGTGGGCTCATGGATGCATCGGACTTCGGTGGGTGCTGGTTATCAGGCAAGGAATAGCAGAGTGGCTTCTTTGCTCTCTATCTGGCGGCGTACTCCGACTCCCGCATGTTCTGAGTTCTTGAGCGAGAGCACAAACGGCTGCTCAGGTGAATCTCGACCTTGACTTTATCCAAATGGAGACTGGTCTCGTTCTCGAATGCAGGGTAGGCTGGAAGCGCTCGTCATTTTCACGCAGCACCCGGTGTCACTGGGTGTTCAATCGTAAAAGGTCTAAATTATAGATGGGCATGAACCTTGCATCGTAGCATACTTCTCTGCTACATTCATGACTGTCTCAATAACATGAGGAGGAAGCAGGAGGTACACAACAAAATCAACAGCCTACCTACTTTGTGCGCGCAAAACCACGCATCTTCATCTCAAAATGATCTTGATCAAACACTCAAGTAATCCTTCTCTCCTAAGAAGCTCAGCCGCTATCAAGATCGACAGCAGAGGTCAACATGTCTTTACTATAAACCCAGTCTTGCTCTTCGAGTCCTCGGGTGCAACCACGCACTTTGTCTCTCCCGCATCTACCCACTGAGCTCCAAGACCTCATAGTCACCGACCTCCACCCCACAGCTGCCATTGCCGTCAGCAAAACCAATCATCACTACCACTCCACAATTTCCCTTCACCGTCGTGTTCCTGATACAGTCCGCAGAGACCTCTTCGATCTCGAACGCCTAGAAGTTCAAAGTGAGGGTGTCCTGAACGGCCCGAGGTTTGCATGCTACAAGTGCCTCTGTATGAAGCCTGGAACGCAATTCGAGTATTTCGAAGTTGTGCGCAGCTGCTCGGTGGAGTATCGCGGAGATTGGCACGGACCGTCAATGCCTAGAATGCGATCTAAAAGATGGCCTTCTGGAGTCAGGTAGAATTGTTCTCTGTTGGTGCGGGCCTAGCACCAGGGTGCCCGGCATAGTCTGCAATGATTGCTTGAAAGCACAGGGGAAATTTTGCGGAGGATGTCGCTCTTGCGCTGGCTGTTTGGAGAAGAAGGGCGTAAAGCTCTGTGCAGACTGCGACTGGTGTGATGCATGTGTGAAACTCAAATTTGTGGAATGGGAGACCCGGAAAAACGAGCGCGCCAACGAAGATGACGGGGAAGGGTTCTTCATGTCAAGAGCCTGCAAGCACCATGTTCCAGAGTATTGGAAGGCAGTGGACTTTAAATTCGAACGCAAAAGGAAGGCCAGAATGAGAGAGAAGATGAGCGCGAGGAAAGCAATGTTAGACAAGAAGAAGACGAGGAGGAGGCAAGGTAGGGCAATGCGCACGCGAAGATGAGCACGGAGACTGCGACATCGGTCACAGATAAGATGGACCAGCTGGCAAGAAGGGCGAGGATGCAAGCGAAGTTCGGTACGAAAAAGGCAATGCTGGCCAGCAACTGGTTTCTAATGGTGGTACTTGCACCGCTACTGGGGCCTCTCTGAGAATTAGGCGAACTGGAACATATGGAAGCTGCGATGGCTCTCTAGAAGGTAAGGTCTAGACGTAACCTTAGCTTGAGATCAGACATAACAGCCATGCTGGACCAACTGTCTTCAGTACTACATCAACTTCTTCAGCGCGACTTATGATTGAGATAAGAGCAAATCGTCATCTTCAACGATGTCGGCTTCGAGTTCCCCTACTATCCCGAGTTCTACTGCATGCTTCCCGGGTATCAAAACAAGTGCAAGACACTGGTCTCTGTACAGAAACACTTACCAACCAGCCTATGCGCTCAAGTTCACCAAGTGAATATTCCGGGCCAGTAGTTGCAAGTCTGATTATCTGTAAGGCCTGCAAACTTGTGCTTGAAAGGTGAAAAGCACCTTGCTTGCACCCTCTATCCTTTTGACGATTTTTGATGTGAGGCTGAAGGCGCGGTAATCTAAGATCAGTTCAAGGTGAGGCTCCCCGTCTTCCCGTCTCTACGTGGCAATGCGACATATCCAGCTCGGAAAGGAAGTTGTTCTGTCCATGTTCCAGAGCGCCGTCTGAGTTTCCCAGGATTCGCGTTCTAGTCTTCCGCTCAGTCGTACAAATGGCTGCTAAGTATGCTTTTTTGGGGGGGGAAGAGGTAAAGCAGAAGTCGCTGACCGGAATGGTGCGTTGCTACACGGATGATAAAAGATAGCTTAAAAACGTTTGATTGCAAACATGATGAATATCTTCGTGTAGGCCTAAGCTCGTGTACCGCTTATTCAGACTTTCCTATTGCCTGCCGGCTTTCCATGTCATCAAGACCATCCGACCCGTCGCATGATCCTATCCACCATGCGTTGAAGATCACTCTCTTCCTGCGCGATCCGCTCTTCTTCCTCTTTTTCCACCGCGACATCCACCCTCGATCCCCTCTCCTCCCCCCACCTCTCAACAATCCACCGCAGTTCCTCCGCCATGTATGCCAGAATCTCGACCGCAAAGGCTCCGTCCAGTTCGAAGCATTGGCTGTAGGCGCGAAGGTCCGTCGTTGTGCACCCTGCAAAGGTACATATGATTCTCAGCGCGAGCCAGACACCTTGATGTTTTTTCGGTCTTATCTCCAAGCATTTGGAGTTGCCCCGATCTTCCGCAAATTGCTTCTTCTTTTCGAGAACATCGACTGGCGAGCCGACCTGCGCCTCCCACCGCTTCACTGCCCACTTTAGCTCGTCCGCCATGAATGCCATGATTTCGGCCGCAAAGGCTCCGTCCAGTTCGAAACACCCAACCCAGTCCACGAAGTCGGTTGTTGTACAGAAGTCAAAAGTGCACAGCTGCTCGACCACGAACGGTCTTAATGAAGTTGATTGCCAGTTCCAAATAGAGCCGTATTGTACCGGGGCCGAATCCGAAAGAATTTCTTCAACAATTTGGGGCGTCAAAGGAGTAGTACTTCTGGAAGTTTTCGCTCTCTCGATAACTTTCACCAACTTCCTTTGTACCTCGTCCTGCAGAAATCGTTCGTCGAAGAGCAGGCGCTCGCCCAGAACGTGCAACCGGCACAAGACTTGACAAGCTTGCTGAAGCTGTTCGTCTTCGCTCCAATCCCACGTGAAATTGTAGAACTGGTAGACCTTGAGCTTGCCAGTGTACAACCACTGCCACAGCCATTGGAATACGTCTGAGTCCACATCTGGGAGCCAGGCAGCGTTGACATCTGCTTCCCAGAAACTGCCTTCGAGACAGATTCTAGCGTAATCTGAGAAGTGGTAAAGGAGTCGCTTTGGGATCGTGTAGTGCTTCTCGTCAAGCCCGACGTAGAAATTTGTTGATGGACCTGTCAACAGTCTAGAGAGATATTAGCGAGCAGATCGGAGACTTGGGTTCCTGCGTACGTACTTGAAGAAGGAATCTGGGTCTCTGCCATCATATGATTCCACGTCGTCTGGCTTGGCGTACGGCTCGTTGGTCCCGTATTTTTCATACAGGGATCTCGAACGCACGCCCAGCCCTTCTTGTTCGGGATCTCCTGTATTACTTCTGCGAGTTTCCGAGACTGGGAAGATGTAATCATGGTGGGTGTCATGCTCCCAGCTATCTTGGAAGTCATTGTGGCTTTCCATGATGAAAAGGAAATTGAGGATTTCAAATTACTTGATGCTGGTAAGCTCGGGTTGCGGAATGATCGAGACGAAGCGCGAAGAAAAACAACTAAGGTACGGGAAGGCGAATTATCGAGAAATGTGTCAAGTAAAAGTGTTAAGGGCTCGACAAAAGCAAGAAGCGCGCCAATGGTTGTAGGGTTATAGTGTTATAGAAAGGGTTAAGTGGCAAGTCCAGCATCTATATATATATGTGTATTGGCGAATGCGAAGAGAATACGACCTAGCAGTGTCAAGAGGAATTCAGGAAAGTATATGAATAGATGGAGGACAAGGAATTAGGCAGTAGCAAAGTTATAATGCATTATCGCGTTTGCTTTAGGTTTAAATGCATCTCGGATAATGCGCTTTTCTCGCCGCCGCTTTCCTATCTGATCACTGGCACCTTGACCAAGGGCAAGACAGGTTCTGTCACATGCGTCGCTTCATTCTGACCCCTTCGCATCAATATTCAAGACCTCACTTATAAAAGCCGTTCTTACAACTTGTTCCAATGCTTGGCACCTCACTAAGAGGCACAAACAAAGACAAACATCTTTGTTGAAGACAATGGTACTGATAGCGGGAGAACGGGTAAGCCTCAACAAGCGTAGACCACTTTGAGAATGTGAAGCTTGGAACGTGTATCAAAAGCATCAAAAAATAAATAAGGGAAAAGGAAAAGCACTCTCAAGCTACCTAATAAATCAATCCTTCATACCATTTCAAAAAGAGCTGGTCCGAGCATCTCTTCTCAAGCCTCCGCCTCTTAGGCCGGCACTTATCGCTCGATCAATTCTTCATAGACAATCTTCGTTTCTAATCAAAGACATACAGAGGAGATACACCGGCCAAGAATGTTGCGTATGGAAAGTCTGAGCTTATGACAACGTTCGTTCGGTTTGATCAGAGACAGGCGAGCTGGGAGGGAAAGTGTTGATAGAGGCTGGGCAAAGACAACTAGTGTAGTATGGGATCTCTTTAAGTAGGGGAATATCACGAATGGATCAGCAACAGGTTTACCACACCTAAAGCTCCAAAGTAGATGAAAATCATTACTGACTGGAATTGGAACCTCTGTGACATACAAAGTTATCTGCTTCATTAAGTTTCTTCCATGTCACTGTTCACCGATTTTCCCCCCTGTCCATCCTAGCTCATATCCTTCCATTCGTTTCCGCTTCTCCTCAGCTGATTCGCATTCTACGACGCGGATATCTTTGGCAGTGGAGCCACCATCGACCACCATTTCTGGCAATCCCGGCAATCTTCCGTAAATTGAATCCAGACTACATTATCACGCGCCTGAGGGGGTAAAACAGTAAACACAAGAGAGACTCATGCTCCGCTTTGAATGCTATCACTTGTACGATTGGGTTTCCCCAAGCAACTTGTGCCACGAGCAAAGTCACCGACAAGCCCAACACGAGGCGATAATGGTCCAAGTAGGCTCTCGCAATAGCAGCATGGAAAGGTGCTTTTCCATATCTGAGTAGAACATGGCCAAGATCTGAATCGACGAATGTCCCCACGTAGAAGCCAAGAACCATCAATGCCACCCCGAGGCGAGGGTAGGATGTAAGACAGCATTTGACGGCCAGACCTGTGCACACATACAGAAAGCCAAGTTGGAAGCAGTCGTAAAATTCGTCGGAATACAGCCCCAGTGATAACAAGATGACAGCCAGAGAAAGCAAGCTCCAACAACCGTGGGTAAGTGCTCGGTCGACGGCGACGATTGCCCTCTCGATTTGCGCCGCGATATGCTGAAGCGCGGCTTCTGCATACGCGTCTATGACCGTTCGGAGATACTGCGTATCGATGGAGTGAGTGATTGGATGCGTGCACCAGGGGCAATTGATGGAGGTAGCGTGGGTTTGCGAGGACGCCCAGAGAAGCAGGCATTCTGTTCCGATGACGTGGCCGCAGGGAAGTTTGCGCGGGAATTCTCGTGATGGGGGTTGAAGGTAGTCTTCGTAGCAGACGGGACAGATTTGGTTTTCCACTTCGTTGGGGTGGATCAGTTGGGTCTTGTCTAGGAGAGCTTTGAGGTGGACGGCCATGGCTGAGGAGTGAGGCTGCTTGTCTTGACTTTTTTGGTAGGGCGAGTGAGGACAGTTGCTTGGTTCGGCGTTGAAGTTGGAAGGTGTCACTACGGGTGTGGAGTTGATTGATGTGTCGAGTTGAGAAGGAGAAGGAATTGTTGTGTTGATGAGTAGTGTTGGTGGGACGTGTTGATACAAGAAGGGTAGAAAGTGGTGAGACGATCCTCGGCTACCTGCAGCTAACGTAACGGTCGAGACAAAGACTTACTCATGACACTAAGAAAATACTTCTGAAGGGTAAACCTGCCTAAGAACAAACAATGGCTCACAATGAGGACTACGACATGGAAAGCCATCATTATTGATAGGAAGCTCCTACGGATTTGACGCCTAAGCCTGTTACCCGTCTCCCGAGCGAACCACTTCAGACTCTATTTGTGCAGTAGACCTAGTGAATGGCTGAGTCTCGGCGTGTTAGCCTCTTGTCAGGTGCAATACCCTAGCACGCTCTTTGCTCAATGCTGAGACACACTGGCCTCTATGTCTCGAGTCATTTTGGTCGGTAGCCGGGTGCGGCGATCTACCCGGATCCCTCATGGGGCTTTGCAGAAGTCATCAGATACCACTCGAAGCTGAAAGTCAGGGGCCATCGAAAGCGACTCAAATCGAGGCCACACGGTCTGGGAAGAAGACAATCGTCTTGACTCTCATTCCACACCACAATAGGTAAACCAGGAAGAGAAACAATAAGGAATACAAGCAAATCAAGAAACCAATAGCGAGTTCTCGGACACTAAAATCTCAGTAGGCGAACCAAACACGCCGATCTAATCCAATCCAACAACAAGCCCTGAGCACAGTGTCCCACCGTACTCCTATCTCAAGGCTCTTTGCTGCATGTTTGCCTCTGCGATCATCTTGGCCCAGCTTCATGGGTCGCTGGCGACGAGATTTGTATTTTGCCGAGTTGTTCACGCATGCCTTCGTCGTTCCTCCTTTCGTTCCCCACTTCCTCCTCGCTTCTCTTTTCCTCTTCCTCATCTCCCCTCTTCCTCCTTCCTCGGTCTCCTCCTTGGTCCCCTCTTCCTCGCCCTTCCAACGTGCCAAGGTCTTGGCAGACCGGATAGTATGGGGGTGATTGGCGTGAAGGACTTCTTTCCGCTTGTCAAGCACATTGGTCATCAATTGAATGGCTTGAACCTTGTCCCCCATATCATAGTAGCAGAGAGCGAGATTGTGTAAGCTAATCAACGTATCTGGGTGATCAGACCCTAAGACTTTCCGGTCCATCTCCGCAGCATCCTTCAAGAGCCTTGACGCGTCAACGAACCTTCCTTGACCTCGATAGACCAAGCCGAGGAGATTGCTGATATTTGCTGTCGTAACATCTTCCGCGCCATAAATTTCTTGCGCCGTATCAAGACATGATATGCAGATTTCTTGCGCCTCATCCAGCTTCTTTTGACGGTAATAGGTGTCAGCCAAGACTGTTCGGGTCTCAAGAGTCCTCCAATGACTACGGCCGAAGATTTTGATGGAGATTGGAATAGCTTGAACGCCCAGGTTCTCGGCTTCTTCGAGTTTGTTCTGTCGCAAATATGCACGAGATAGATGTCGCATTGCATCGAGAGTGTGTATATACTCGAATTCATGATATTTTGTACTCATCTCCAACAATCTCTTACTCAGCTTCTCAGCGTCTTCGTATTTGCCTTGGTCGAGTTGGGCAGCCGCTAGTCCATTTCCAGAGGCCAAGAGACGCGGATCTCCCGGATCTAATAACCTTTCTCTTACTTCGAACACGTGTTTCAGTAGATCCGCGGCCTTTTCATACTGCCCTAATTGACCATATGACAAAGCAAGATTATGCATGGAGGTTAAAGTCCTTTCGTCCTCCGACCCCCACTTTTCCCGTCTTTGCCTCAATATGAACTCCTGGAGATCTCTCGCCTCTTCCGTTTTGAGAAGTTCACTTTGAGCGCAAGCCAATATGCTCATGGTATTGAGGATTTCGTCTGAGTCGTCATCAAAGTATTCTCGCCGAATTTGAAGCGCATCTGTCGATCTTTGTTCCGCAAGTCCGGCATGCCCTTTCCTTTCGACTAGATACCAGGCCGTGCGTACCAGTATAATCGCGCGACTTAATCGAGATTCTTTGGAGCTAGCCGTGTGAAGTATCACCTCGTCCGCGTGAGACATTAAGGCCTCGCAGATCGGCCAATGTTGCTCTTGGTTTTCTGCCATTGGAAATCGATGCGCCACCCGCTCAATCGCACTCTCCTTCCATAATTGGTCACAACCTTCGCTACGAAGCCAATGCCGCATTGCTGTCTGCACAAGTCTGTGCATCTCGAATACATTCTCTCTGGTTTCTGCGCGGATCAGAGAGAAGCTAATGAGAGGATCAATTTCCTCGCAGAAAGAAACATCGTCATCATCTCTTTGTAGCAGAAACTGTGGGATACCTTGCCGATTGATATACGACATAAGCGATAACAAATTAGCTGAGCCTGGGGTCTTTTCACGGATCTGGCGGAAGGATAACTCCCATGATGTTATCACTGCATTTGGTACCGCTGGATCTCGCCTCAAGTCCCCTTTGCCCTTGTTAAGCAGAGTGGCTTGGTCCTCATTACTGCGACGGAATTTATTGAGGTATATGGATATTGAAACCTGGGAAACCGCTTTGATGTACGCACTAGCCTGGGAGATGGCGAGAGGCACCCTCTCCAACTCTGCCACAAGTTCAGAAGCTTCCTCTTCAGTGGCATCTGGCAATCTGTTCCGAAGCAGGCCGACAGCTTCATTTGTACTCATCGGTCGCACTTCTAGGGGCGTGCCGTTCTGTCCATTCAGGTCTAGCGCACAAGTGCGATCGCGAGTCGTGATGAGCACAGCCCCGTGTTGCACTCGCGGCAAGAAATCCAGCAAGCGGCGCTGCACAGACGTTGCGCCAGTCTCAGGATCTCGTTCTGGTAGGTGCAATAACACGGTAGCGTCGTCCGCATTGTCGAGGATCAACAGCCATCGACCATTGTCCGGATTTGCGAGCCATTTTGACACCAACTGGAGAATGTCGACCTTGCCGTCTCCAGTCCCAGGAATCTCTACTGTCGTGGCGATTTCTGTATATGACTGTTCGAACCTCGCCTTGTCGCTCGCATGGACCCAGAAAGTCGAGATCTCAGGCAACCGCTCTTTTTGTCGATATGAGTATTCGATGGCAATTTGCGATTTTCTGGCAGCAAAGGTCAGCCCAATTCTCTGAATAAAGGGTGAAAAGAGGTCTGCGTTCTACCCTATGCCACCGAGACCATACAGCGACGCCCAACTTTGTGATATTGGGTTCGCAAATTCGGACTCAAGCTGTGCCAGGATGTCCTCGCGACCAACAAACCCAGGATCTTTCGAGAATGGAACGGTCGAAAAAGTCCTCACACTCCCTCGAACAGGTTTTAAAGACAGTTGCATCTATCATACAAAAGTCAGTCATGCTAGGAGAATTATATGATCTTGGTTGGCTACGTACGAGTTGGAGAAAGGATCTGAGAAGCGCAAGCCGTCACCTGCTTCCGATTGGATTGAAGGTAATTCTCAGTGACCGTCTTCACCCTTCCCATTTCCTTCCACTCCTCTAGACCCACAGTCTGCAGGCCATGCTGTACATTGAAGCGAAAATAGATGTCCTGGTCCGGAGATCGGTGTTCCATTTCCTCTTTGACCTCTTGAGCCACCTTCTCAGTGTCAGTGGACATCTCCTGGAGCGTCTTGAACAAAGGTTTGATCGATCTCCCAACATCGTGAGAACCCATCATCCCCGTTCCGATACTGACAATGCAACCTACACTCCTCGAGGGCCAAATGTGCATCGTCTCCTCGCGAAGTGCCTGCGTGGGGTTGTTGTATCCTAGACCGCCATCCACAAACGTTCGAGGAGGATTGCCGATTGAGACTGGTGGAAAATAAGTGGGTGCTGCGGATGTAGCGAGGCAGGCCTCCCAGATTGTCATATCTTCAGATACAACCCTGGGGCTTTCGTAATTGCGGAATCGGAATGGATGGCGGGGTTTTTCGGAATTCACGCAAACAAAACTTGACGTTGTCAATAATATGAGCGAGAAAAACTGGAATGGAATGGGCTTACACTCTGCACCCCTGACCAGATTGAGATCGCATCATCTCATTCCCCGTTGCATTATTTCCAAGATTCTCTTCTCACAAGACGTTTGATAGCGGCTTCAAAAGGTGCTGGATCGAAGCGTTGGTCGCCTTTCAGGGCACTGTCTCTGTGGTCAATAGGGTTCAAAAGGGGCAAAAATTTAGGCCAAGTGACGGATAAGGAAGCATAATAGCAACAAGGGGAAGGCTCCGGAAAGTACATACTTTTTGGCCTTGCCAAATATGCTTCCCGATACCATACCTTCAACGGGGAATATCTCTGGAGCCATACTCAGATATGCATTTATGCAAGTCTCTATGTCCATTCGGAGGACTCCTAACATGACAGCAATGAGTCTAAGGAAGTCAGCGAGGTTGCGTTGACTTTTCTGCTTTGGCCACAATAGGTGGACTGCTCAAAGAAAAGTAGGTAACAGCTGCATTAGCTCAGAACTCCACAGCTTCGTTTAAGTAAAGCAAGGGATATTGCTTCTTGGGCACAAAGAGCAAAATAGAGTCACCGAATCCGTGGAGTTCGCGTTTGAGGTTTAGGTTGTAGGAATGCCCGCAGCCCTTGTGAGCGCGAACTTCCACATTGAACGACAGCCGGCCAATCGGCGACGCGCCAGGTAGACTTGAACTGGACAGAGAAAGTGGCCAATGAAAGATTGATTGGGGTTGAAAGGAGACATACCCTCCAGTTGACGTGCCAGCAATCATGTCAAAGTAATCGCATGGTCGGGGAGAAGCAGTCTCTCCAGCAGACACTGGCTCCTTTCTCTGGACGGCCACCAGCAGATTTTTAAGGATATAAAGGCTCGAGAGCCCCCTGATGCCACCGCCATCTGCATAGAGTCAGCTCTGGAGTACGTCTTTTCCATCCCGAGAACACCCTACCGAGCGAAAGCAGCCGGAGTGGTGGCTCCGGATCCGACATAATCTGAAGGAAATAACTCCCAACACTTGCGAAACCCTGGATAAATATTGTGATATGTGCCAGATGCCTGACGATCTCGACAAAGTAATCAGAGCTGGGAGGAAAGCAGGGGAAGAGCGGAGGCCCTTTTCCACTGCCCATTGGAACTCCCCACCACACCTCATGCATGGTACACAGCCTCACGCCTCGTTCGGTCTAGCGGCGGCGGCTCCGGACGACAGCGATAGGCGAGAATAATCACTCGGCATGCAGAACGGCACTAGGTATATCTCCCCGAAGCGAAGGTTGCAGCCTTCCGCAGCGAACATTCCAGACCAATCAATACGGACGTAATGACTGCAACTAGTCGATCTTGCCCAGGTAACATAACTTTCGCCGGCGGCATTTGCCCATTACCGAGGAAGCTTAAAAGAAAACGAGGACTGGTACGTCACCGCTTCACGGTCACACTGCTGCCTACTCAGGGCCCCACGCAGTGGGTCTGAGCAGGAAACCCTGCCAAGACTTATTTTTTTGGTGTATTGCCCGATATATAATATTCACACCCTACGTACATATAATCCTTAACAAAAATGCGCAACTACGATGGCCTTTTTTGGAATTCTTGAAAAAAAGTCGAATAAATAGTCAAATAGGCCCTCGTCAAATTAGAAGCTGTGGTGCAGTAGTTAAGAAGTAAGCTTCTAATTCCATTTCATTAAAAAACTCAGCTAACTTAGCTATAGCAGCGGTACCAATACTCAAGAACGCCGTACATCTTAACAGACGCGTAGACACCATACAGGAATTACCCTAAAGTACATAAATCCTCGGGGTAACCGCTATAGTACTCGCCGGACCAACGGCACGGCGTATTAAGGAAAATATCGTAGCCTCGCTAATCAGTTCATTACTTCGATTAGACGCCGTAGTCTCCCCCATTTTTGAACGACCAGGCTTATAAGAGTCGCCGTGGCGATGCATACAGATAAGTAAGCAAGTATATATGTATGCATGTAAGTAATTATATAGCTACCGAACTTGCGGAGAGCAGAGCGGAGAGCGAAGCGGAGATAATTCATCCTTTTGGTGTGAAGTCAGATATTGGTAGCGGCGACATCGATAAATAAGAATATCTCGCACGACGTCGGAGTCTCTTATAGATATATAGAACGTAGAAAAAGACGTCTTTAAATGCAGAAAGGTCTACGTCGTCGTTATGAACGACCTAATCGAATATCGCTTGGTCATCTCCTCCGTACTTTTATACCCGGCAGCCCGGGAACCAAATATTTGAATTTTTGAATTTCTTTCGATCCGAACCATCAAAAGTTTTTAGATTTCGCCATTATGTAGAGGAAGGATGTTACTATAAGGCATAGAGAGGTTAATATCTGAAGTTCGAAGATATCTCGCCGTCGCCGCTATAGAGAAAGTTGGGTGCCTAAGTATCCTCAATATATTCCACACCCACACGAGCTCGTTCTAGGCGTGCCAACCGCGTTAATATCATTTAAGATATATATACTATAATCCCTTCAACTCATGAGCGAAGCGTATTCGAGTTGATATATATTTCTATAGAGAGCGTATCTCGAGTACTCGACTTTCTAACCAAGGGTAATATAACAAATCTACTTTAGCAATTTCTTAACCCAGTTCGTTACATGATCTTTCAATAGTGCTGAATACGATACGCTATCGTCTAAGGTTTTCCTAATAAAGATTAGTCGGCTGAAGGTGGATACTATAAGTATTAGCGGAGATCGCGGTCTCGGATCAGCTTATGCGACAACAATAAGTCATCCGATCCTAATAAAAGGCTTAAATACTTGATCAGCGACCTCGATAGGCCTATTCGCCCCGCGATTAACTTCAAAGGAGTATATGATAGTCGTGGAAAAATCGTTGAAAGTCGCGAATTTCGTATTTCGGTCAATTATTGCGGGTGCCTTATACAAAATAACGATCAATATAGCGATTCCAGGGTTTCCTACTCAGACTCTAAGGGAGGGGTATGCCGTAATGAGCTTGCGATATGATTGGCCCCCGAAGCGAGGCACGAGTGTAGGGCTGGCCATAGGTACCCCGGCTAGCCGTGAGTCTGAATTACTGAGACTAACTGCTGCCACAAAAATGCAGTGTATCAGAATCCACTCCAGGCCTTTTCCAAATTGCGCTCTGTAGTCTCCTACGCGCCTTCATTAGACTTGTGCGAAGCACATGAAGCCCAAAATAAAAATTGCATAGTCATCCAAGGAGCGCAAGTTCATACAGAAACACCACATTCAGCGCGTTTCTGCATTTGTGTGTTTCTTCACGTTTCTTTTGGCATGGCCGTCTGTTAAATCGATCTACTCGCACAAACTTCTTCGATCCATCATGGCGAGCTTCACAGCGGAAGCACATTTCACTGCCTGCTGGGCCAACACCTGAAGAATCCCTGCCGTATACATCATAGATATCATCTCCGCGGCGTCTCGGTTTAGCCCTACAGATTTGCCTCCAAGCAGAGACACTCCAGCGCCCACCTGCAACTGGACCAGTCTCGGATCCGGGGGTAAGTGCGAGCAGATCTGGATCCGGCGCTTTCTTCTCCTATTAGAGGTGCATCAGTAAAGATAACTAAAATCCTCAACATTCAAACCTCGAAACTGGCTTTGACTGAAGCCTGACAGTGTACTGGGGAACTGACGAATACTGCTCAGGCACGTGAGTCCAAGCATGTTTGGCGTACACGAAGCATTGTTCGAACCCTATCTGTACGTTTGACGAAGCCAATTGAACATCCATCTCACTTCCAATCTCGTCATCCTGAAAGATGTTGTAAAAGTCCAGTTCGAAGACGTTCGGGTCTCCGAGAGTACTTAGCCGGCAGTGTTTGATTGCAAGCTTCATATGCCCGAAGAATGAGATATTTCTAGCTTTGAAAGATCTTCAAGGTCTGCCCAAGCCAACAATGACCATCTAAAGCCGTTGGTAGCCTACCTTCCGTACTGATGACTTATGTGAGGCCACGGCGCGAGACTTGCTGTGGGCCATGCCGTTCGGGAACACCACGAATCCGGGCCTTCGACCCCATTTCTACCCCGGCCGATAGCAGCATTCCTATTCCATGGGCTGTCTGGGGAATCAAGCTGGATTCATGTGCGGAGACTGCTCTCCCGAGTCCCGGACCGTGACATACCGCGGCCCAACGTTCTCCGCGGCTCCAAATCTTAGAACTCTGGAGCACGAGAAATACTTGTGGAGGAACCTCTAACCAGCTCAGATCTACCCCAACCTTACCTAAACAGCCTTGATGTATGCACACTTGGGGGTATAGAGCTCTTCCGCGAGCTTCCGCGAGGGCGACTAGAGGGTATAGAGCCGCAGGCTATCACGAGGAATCCTTTATACTGGGCATGCTCCCCGGCCGTTAAGTTCCGATCGCATCCGACTCCAAAGGACGAATCGTAGTTTGATCAGTGCTGTTTGCTGTCTTACCGCTGCTCATTCAGTACCCCAGCTTTTCCCATCTTCTCTCGTCGCACTAGTGAGAAGGAACGAAGGTACTCCATCCTCCCGCTCGCTCTCAGACTTGCCTCCCCCACAATCAACAGAGTTTCACCTTCAACGCCTCACTTTGCATATTGACAATACTACTTGAGAATTTTACGTCGTAGTAGTAATCCTAGCTAGATACCAAGACTAGTCTTACCTCACATCCTCTCGCTTCAGCGGGTGAAGGAACATACCCTTCTTAGTCAATCAACGCGCTCAAATCTCCATTCCGGGTCAAAGACAGATACGCACGACATGTCACTCCATCACCACGTTCTCGCTATCCCCGGCGGCGCTGATCTACCTCCTGAGTTTCATCCAATCCTAGCCAGCAACATGGCGGAAGAATGGCAATCCCGCAGCCCAAAACCTTCGCCGATCCAGTATAGGACACAGTCCCGGCTTAGGTGAAGCGCTGCAATGCCAAAACCAACGGTAGCGACAAAACCGACACTTTCATTCAGCCACCCTCCGAGAAAGCCAGCACCTACACCTACGCATACTGCATACTGCGAGAATCACTGAACGATCGTGAGGCCACCACCGAGGACTTCAATGCCTTCCTCTCGATAGCTGCACCCATGCGCTCCCAGAAGAGGGGCTATTGCATCTTCGTGCCATCTTCCTCGTTGACGCATCTGGCTCAACGCTTCAGCCTGACCAGAAGATCAAATTCGAAAGGGAAGTCCTGCAACACGCCTCCAAGCTAATGCTCATGGCACTCATAGCACTACATCTCGCCAAAAAGCTTGTCGCTGTCAAGGTTCTCAAGAAAGCCAACCTCGAGGCATTCAGTGCAGCGGCCGGGAAGCGTATATATGGTGGAGATCGAATGCCTGAGGGCATTCCAGAGTGGTTGAAGAAGAACTAGGCGGAGTATCGCGCTTGTGTCGCTCAGGGTAAGGGGAGTTTTGCTGAGAGGATGATTGAGAAATGTCCGGGTACCTTGGGAAGGTAGGTTAATACTGAATCCACTAAATTGTGAATAGGCATAAGCTAAAGTTTGGTCTGTAGCGGCGAAGGCAGGGCTTGACGAAGAACCTTGCTACAAATTGGTGTGGTATTTCGCCGCTGTCGATAGCTTAGAAGACGAAACCATCAGTCGCGTTCTCACTGATTATCGCGAGAAGGATTAAATGGACTATGACAGCAACAACTCAGTATTGAAGAAACCACTCCCATGACAGCGCTTGCAAAGCACGTCACAATCCTTGACGCAATGACCCTGGAAGAAATCCTTGGGCCCTCGGCAAAACGCATCGAAGCCATCGAAAACGAAGTCTTGGCCCGAATCTGGGTTAAGCAAGGTGGAGAAAACTTCAATGATCTTTGCATGATGCATGGAGGTGTCGAGGAAGTTTGGAGGATAAAGAGAGTCCTTTTGTAAGCAAGATGCCGGAGGACAACCTCCATACCGTCGGGCATAATGAAAAGCAAATTGTTCTTGATCTTGCGAGGTTCGGGATGGCTGTGGGAAAGTTTGTGGATTCGGTATCTGAGGGGGTTTCCATGAGGATGTGGTAGTGGCGCTATGTCAGTTAAGCGCCAGTGGTCTGCCATCACAAATGCTGGCTGTACAAATGGAAAATGTTTATGACGGAAAGTAATGACTAGATATCACGATACTTGACAACAGGTGCCTCCTGCATCTTTAGGGGAGTGTTTGTAGCTTGAGATGGTGATTGACCAACACGCAGAGCCCTCTGCTTCAATAGACGCGGCGACATCAATCTTTTATAAGTGGTGATGCAGAAGTGAAGGCCGGAGAGGAGTCTTGGCGCTGATTCAACGCTAGCCCGCATCCTGTTAGCTCCCGCCAAGCTCGAAGCTCAATCTCCTGGAAAAACTTGACAACCTTCCACCTCATCCATCTCCTCCGCCCCAAGCACCATCAAACGACGTCGTCAAACACATCTCCACTCCTCAATTGACATCTCACAATCTCAACCATGTCTTCGGCACGATTCATGGCCCCCAAGGTCGCCTCAATGCTCGGCTCCGCTTCTGCCGGTGCCGCACGCCCTGCGCTCCGTAGCACTACTAAGCTGCAATTCAACAACCCCCAGCGAGCCATCTCAGGTACGTATCTCCCTGGCTCTATACTGGACTTCAACCTTGTCACTGCTAGAAAGTCATTATGCTCATTGACACGTTCTACCGACTAGGCATGGGCCGCTCTCTCCAGCACAACAATGCCGCCAAATCTCCCTTCCAAACCCTCAAGCGTCAACAAGTCAGCAACGCCTTCAAGGCTTCCTTCGCGCCTCAAATGGTCCGTCCATTCTCCTCGGAGCTCGCTGAAGCCATGGTCATTGCTGGCGGGAACATCGGTACCGGTATGGCTACAATCGGTCTTGCTGGTGCCGGTGCGGGTATCGGAACGGTCTTTGGGGCTTTGATCACCGGTGTGGCTCGCAACCCAAGCATGAGGGGACAGTTGTTCGCATATGCCATTTTGGGTTTCGCCTTCGCTGAAGCTACCGGGTTGTTCGCGCTCATGGTGGCATTCATGATCCGCTTCACTTAAAGAGATGGTTTAGCCTGATATATTGCTGGAGGATGGTTGGTGTGTGGGATCCTCTGGCCGATATTCATCTTCGTGGATGCGATTGTGGCGGGGTGGAAGGTGTGCAGATATTGTGGCATAGGTCGAGCTTCAATCATTGTAATTCTACTCATTAGACATAGATTCGCTAAGAAGATGTCAATGAAAGAGCAAGATCTTGTCATGAATGCTGCATTTAACTTGAAAGAGGAGGTAGCACGAAGTAATGCTGAAGACAACACGATCTGTGCCCGCAAAAACAATCAAATTGTCCTTCATTGACGAAATTTTGAATAGGACCCGGCAAATTCCCTGTACCAATCCCACAATTGGCCACAGGCGACATCGAAAAGATCGGTCTATCTAACGCAGTATTGTCGTTATGTTGGATCATTGTCGATACGTCCTGTTCACCTACAAAGCTTCTAAAAAATGGTTCATGGAGACCGTCGAAGGGGTCTTCGTGGGCGGTAGCTGGATGGCATCAGTTCTCGCCTCTAGTCCAAGGCAAACGCTGGTCTATCCAATCGTACTTTGTGTCTCCCGCCTTATGCGAAACACGCTGTTTACGTCTCCCCTCGTTGAGATTCTGAGGACCCACCAGATGGAGAGAGCTCTCCTGCTCTACCCAAGAACCCCCAGCAACTCAGCTATTTAGGCTGTCCAGGGGCTGATCCAGGTTGCTACCAGGGAATGCTCGCTGCACATATCTCTACTTCTCAGTACTGACTTAGCGTGGTCAATCAAAAAGCTCGCGCATAGATTACCATAGCAGTATACGCGGTCTCTCAATTACCCACTCGCTTGAAGCGGGAATTCAGTAGGAGTAACTGTCGGCTATCATTCCATCATTTTCTGTGATCTTCCTCGTGCTGATTAGTCCATGCTGGTTAAGCACAACCCCGTGGTGCAGTTCATCTAAGATATGTTTCCTCAAATTCTTCTCCTGCTGGTGGTTTCCTTTGGCTTCACTGTTTCGGCCACAACATCTCAACCAACAGAAGACAGCGCATTGAAGCTCTCAGCAATACCCAATATTGTGGAGCCAATATTTCCCTCAAACGCGTCCGTCCCAACATCTAACGCGTCTGCAGAAAATGGTTTCACGATACGCTGCGATGGCGAGGCTTATGGCTACAATCCCAACATCCTCGACTGCGAAGACGCAAAGGAATACTTGCTCCCCGATGCGAGCACATGGACATTTGGTGAACGCCACACCGGCTTACCCGCAGACATACTGCCTCTTCCATATTTGGTCATGGGTGACAGAGGGCTCTGCTACGTCCAAGCAATTCTGATTGGGGACCATACCACAGCCAAGGCGTCATTAAATATGCTGCGTCGAGCTGCAGCAGCTCTTGTGGTGCAATGCGCAACCAGTGTTGTATCGCAAGGTGGTATCGCGACAAACATAGGTAAGAGTGAAGCCAGACTCATTGCAAATAATCTTTTACAAGCTCACATACTGATCTGCATCCCGTGGCTGACACTTGTAGGTGGTGACAACAATCTAGCTATAATACTTGGGGCATACGAAATGCCGGTTACCTGCCGCGGAACACTCGCGACGTGGGAGTCATGCAGAGACGTTCTTTACGACATGCCTGCCGACAAAGTACGACGAGTATTTGGTCCCGGCAGCGATCCGGCCGTTACGGAAGACCTTCCTTACAACATCGATTCATGTATGTGCATTGACCCACTTCTTCGCAAGCCGTGTCCCCTAACGAAAATCTCTCGTGAAATAAGCGGATCTGAAATGTTCCGCCAATATATTCAGTGCCGGTAAATCTGATGTGTCTTCATTCTACGATATATGGAAAGCCGTGACCGCCTTGTTTTCTGTTTGCGCACGGCATGGGAAGGCCGGTAGTGTTAGGGGGCTTGGTATGATTTCGGACAACTCGACGGAGCAGCAAAGAATAATCCGACTGACATACTGGCCCAGGTGAACATGGGGACGTGTTCCTCACGATGACCGCAAGCGGGAGACTGGAACTGCCGAGCAATTCTTCCCGAGGATTCTCTTCCTAAGAGATCTTGAGTAGACGTGACTTTTGGAAGAGTACGTGTAGTGGTGCTCGCGTCTGGGCAGAAAATGAGATAAAGCACGGCATTTAGCCAATCCTTCAAGAATCGCAGTCATGTTACAGAGTTTTGTTCTGACCGCAGCTGATGTCTTGAGCGGAACCAATTTTTGCAGCAGAACAGACGGCCCAGAGAAAGAGATCATGATACTTTGATAAAAAGTGGAAACGAATAACAAAGGTACAGGGACAGCGCGGTCTTCGGTATTTCCCCAAACCCGGGGTCTTCCCCACAGGCGCGGACTTTTCCGCGGTCTCAACAGCTTTTGATGGCAAGATGCAGGAGGAAGGAATGCCCGGACTGAATATATGGCACTGCATCTACTTCGACAATGGCTTTGGCATACTCGACCCCTCCACGATGATATCCCATTACCCTCCAGTGTGGGTCGTGCAGCAGTCTCGCCTGATAGACCATCCTGCTAATATGGCTGATCTGGCGATAAATGATGATATACATAGTGACCCAATCGAATGAGTAAGTGACTATGGAGAACCCGTGAACCAAGCCTTTTCCCTCTCCTTTCAACCTGGGTCAACCTGGGCCAATGATATTATGCTCTCAGATTTTGAATTCCACGCCGCAGGACCATCTCTTTTGTCAACATCAAGTGAATTGTTCCAGCCACCGTGTTTCCTAGCCATCTGACGTTCTACTGTCTTAGCCCTAAAGGGGTTAAAAAATTTAATTTATCCTTCCTGAATGATTTCAACAGCTTCACCATCTCGTCTCCAACTCAACCATTTTCCTAGACCTCCAGACCACCGCAATGATAGCCATCGCGTTTCCCCTAGGCTTTTTTGTATCGACAAGTTGGAATTCAGGGTCCGCCGGAATACGTTTTCAAATGCCTTTGCCGTCCTCTCGTTGCTGTGTAGTCGACAAGCATGGATAGGTCGACGTCCTTATGCTCAACATCATCCATCACGTCAGTAACCATTTCAAGTATTCAAAGAGGAGTCAAGAAGGAACAACGCATCGACAAAACTCCTACCACTCACTGAGGGAGTTTCTCAGTCCATCTTGTCTCAGGCCCATCCTTCAACAAGAACATAAACAGCACTACCTTCGATCCACCCTTCATCGCCGGAACAAGACCTTCCAAAATGCGAACCGCATACTTGTCGCTCCAACCATGCAAAATCCATCTCAAGAAATCGATATTCGCCCCCCTCACCAGCTGCTCGATAAAGAAGTCATGTTGCACGAACTCGACTCTGCCCTTCTAGTCCTCCAGCAATGCTTTTCCCTCATACCCAATCGCATCCTCAAAGCCTTGCACGACAAACCTGGCATCTTTTGTAGCCGGAGCCAGAGCCTTTGGCACAGCCCCCTGACCTCCACCCACACCAACCACGACCGCGCCTGGCCGATCGACCAGACCCCACAAACACCCATTCACCGAATGCTTCAAATACCAGCCTCAAAAGAACCATACCATATCATGGCACGTTCGTAGCTTTCAGCTCTTCCCGGATGCTTCGCCAGATGCTAAAACAATCCCACACCCAGCTCATCGGCCAAAGTAAAAGGCGCTTCAGTTGGCTCGCCCCTGTCACCAAATGGCCTCACCGCATCTGTCACCCTCGTGGCGGGTTGTCATATCTCCTATGCCATCATTGCGACGGCGTCTTTCAGATATGACTCTGTAGCTAAGAGCTGGGATGACGCTGTATGGCGTACACAACCAGGAGGATGCTCTGCGAAGGCCATTGCGTGGCGGATAAAGCGCTCGATGAGTTGCTCGGATC